TTATGCTTTGGACAAATCTATGAATATTGAATGTTCACTGTGTGCAGAAGTATGATATAGACATTGTAACAGGGGGTTTCATTTTCTGACAGGTTTGAAAATTTTATTCCACACCACATTAAAATTATTATTTACAGAGTCTTCCCTTCTTTCTCTTATGGATCCCTGACCAAAGCTGATGTACAACAGAAAGGAAATAGTTGCCAGAGTACAAAGAAAAAAATCCCACAGCATTGTATGTTTATGAGGAATTTTAGAACTCGATGGGAGCCTGTGAGATTTCTTTCTTCCCCTCATTTAGAGGGTATTTTATACAAAGACACACAATCTTTTCTGATTAGATTAGGGACATGAAATATACCCAAGAAATACATCAAGGAATCATGTAAAATCTCAAAATGAAGTACCATGGATTTGGAGGATCAGATCTCAGGCGTGGCCATAGCAGAACTTTGGAACTGAGCCAAATCCTATTGTCATTAAGTTTTACTGTGACCTTCGGTAACTTTCTGTACTGCATACTCTTTCCCATAGGGACAGAGGTGACACTCACTGCCTTTCTTACTAGAAAACTTAGTTTTGGCTAGCACCAAATAATATAAGCCACAAATGATTGCAAGCCCTGTGCAGGGTAGACCTCTAAACAGAGCTCCCATTTTTATGATACCACTGAGCACATTTTCATAGATTGCTGACACTGCAATTTCTTGGGTTGAAATTCTAAATAGTTCTCAATAATTGCATTTTAATTGTCCTTGGTTATGTGAATAGATACTTTACCATCAGGTGTGTCAGGTCCTTTTCTGATAGACATTTTCTAAGTCCTCTGAAATTATACTTGCAACATTACAAATGCAACAGAATTGGAAAATGTTAATAGAAATTAGACACATAGGACACTGGTGTTTGCTTCTCTTGATTTTTCACCTGCAGGTTAGTTTTTATTAATTTTTGGGTGAATTAGAAAAATAATGTGATTCACCTTTAACACTTACATACAATCTCCTCTTTGTTCTGAAACAGTTATTTGTATTTATGTTCATGTTTAATAATTAGACACTGATTAGCATTTTCATTTATCAGGTAAATTCGACCTTCAACTTCCTGATCTTGCTTTTGCATTTCCAGTGTTCACTTATGAATAATTTACGTTCAGCCCATGGGCATCTTACAATACACAATGACATGGATATCTTGATAAGCTGCTAATTAATGATTTTATCAGCAACCTTTCCCCAATGCAGAACAGACACCATGCCTTATGAATTTTATGACTTAAACTTTGTCTAATACTATATGCTACCTTGAAAGGGGTAGCAAAGGATTTAACATTTGGGAACCGGGTGTTTCCATAAATTGCATGATGAATGTGTTTTGGGTCATTTCAAGTGCTCTTCATAGAGAAGTGATATCCATGTTGCCCTGCTCTCTTTTTCTTAAGAGCCTTTTCTCACTGTTCATCACTTGCTGCCTCTGGGCTCAACGACTGGTGATAATTTCATGGATCTGAAAACTTGTCAGCTACACTCTATTTTCTTTTAATACTGACATAGTGAGAAACACACATAGAAAGAAACACATACACACAAAGGCAAGTGAAGCGCAGCCATAAAACATTATAGAAAATGGTTTTAATGACACAAATATAGTTTTCTTCCTAAAATTTAAACATAGTTTCTTTTACAAAGAAAGAAATTATGTTTAAATTTTAGGAAATCCAATTTCAGGAAGACCATATGGGGATGGGTGGTGTCTGATTCTTCTAAAAAAGTGTTCAGTGGCATCAAGCTTGATTTAAAGAAGTGATGTTATATAGAATTTACTCCAAAATTGTAGTCTTGAACTTTAATATATACAAATAAGAAATACCAGTTGAGGACATTTTCTGAACATTATATATAGCATAAAAAAGTCAAAATATAATTTTTATACCAGAAATAAATAACTATGATATATCTCAATGTTAGATTGTTGTAGGCTTAGTGCCATGGATATGGTAGTATATAAAAGAATTACAATACCTTCAGTTATACTAAGTAAATAATACTGATGGGTTCTTTTTTTCTTTTGAAGGTTACAGAGTTTTTTTCTCTTTTTACTATTATATATCTATTGATTACCTTTAATCACACATATAGGTTTTATAAAATAGAAAAAAGAACTATAAAACTTACTATAGTAGTTATTTTGTAAATTATGAACCTGGTCTACTTCATATTCAAGAAAACTTTGTCATAAAAATCAAGACAGAACTCTGAGAATTAGAAAAGCTCTGGGAAATTTTGTTTCTCTAACCAGCTAACAGTGGAGGAGAATGGAGAGAATCCCTTATCCTGCTCAGAAGTTGGAATGTCTAAAGAAGTTCAAAGGGAAGCAAGATAAAGAGGTTGGTAGGGTGTCAACAGATAAGATGAACATAGAGGATGGACAGTTCACACTTTCCCTCACTTCTTTTTTGAGACGACAAATAACAATATTTTGAGATTATTGGAAAGAATAGTGACAAAACCCAATTTATATTTTAAGGGCATTCTTGAGGGTATTGATAGGAGAAACAGGTTAATGTAGAAAAGTTCATAATACATGCCTATGCTGCATAGAAGTATGATAGAACTTTATTAGAGATAGTAGCAGCAGAAAGAAGCTGAAATGTTTGAATTGTATTGTGAAAATAAACTTGGCAAATCATAGTCTAAAACTCCCCACACAGTTCAGGCACTGAAACTTCACAATTTCTGTAATACTTTAGATATTGGTCTTTAGAAGAGTAAATCATGAAAAAAACATTTCCCATTAACAGGTTTATCAAAAGTCTTTTAAAGAGACTTGGAGTATTTGATATAGGCAAGCTATGGAATCAGCTTAGGTGCCCATCAATAAATGAGTGGGTAGAGAAAATAAGATCCATACACAAAATGCTGTATTAGTAAACTGTTCAACAATTCCATTTTAAAGGAACTAGATGGGACAAAATAAGTCAAATATAAGAAAACAGGTACCGTATACTTTCTGTCAATCAGAAGAATACTAAACTCAAAACAATTAAGACTACAGAGGAGGGATGAGGTGACTGATGGGAGGGAGATACAAGAAAGAATGATAAGAAAGGAAGTTAGGAGAGGAGATTTGGCCAGGGTATGTTATATAGATATACAGAAATGTCATACTTGAGACTCATTTGTATGTTCAAGTAATCATAGTTTTTAAATGGAAGTGAGTGATCTGACAGAATGGACAAGATCCATTTAGAAAGCAGAGATTTCACTACCCACATAATGAACTTAGTCTTCCAAGTCCCTGGAACAATGAAAAATAGATCTCTGTCATTTAAAAACTTCTCTTTAAGTATTTCATTTAGCATCACAAAAGGACTATGATTGGAAAACTGTATAATGAATTAACTGTGGTAATTTGGGATGGTGTGATAAAAGTTCCCCTTCATTCACAACTGATTAAGAGTTTTATTGACTGTTAAACTAAATGAGCACTGAACTTGATTAAATCTGTTTTAACAGCTATCATAAAATCATATGATTATTTGATCTTATGATTATTTCTGTTAGCATGGTATGCCATGTTTATAAAAATGTAACTGTTAAACCAGTATTGAAATTCTAAGACAAAATGCATTTGATTTCAATGAGACCCACGAGAAATTAAGACATGTGCATACAAATGTTTGTTATATGAATATTCACAACAGCAAATTCACAGGCAGTATGAAATGGAATCTGCACAAGCAACCCTTAACTAATACATAAATGAATAAAATATGGAATATCCATAAAATAGATACCACTTGTCAGGTAAGAGGAAGAAGTGCTGTTGCATGCTGTGAGGTGAATAGACCTTGAAAATATTATGTTAAACTAAAGAAGCCAGTCACAAATGTTTGCAGATTACACAGCTCCATTTATATAAAAAAGAAGATTTAAAAGAGACAAATTTATTAAGACAGAAAATATGTTAGCATAAAGAACAAGGCTTGAGGGAAGAAAGTGATAAAACATATACTTAGGATTTGGGAGTTTATCCTAAGTTTTTCTAAACTTTGATAAAAAAAAAAAAAAAAACACTTGCACAATCCAGCAAAGTTACTAAAACCATACCATAAACTTTATATACTTAATTTTACAGTATGTCAATTATAAAATAATGATGATGCTAAAATGTTGCACAAAAATACAGAGATTGCACAATGGAATTTAAAAACATGACAGGCATGAAACACATCAGACCAAATAAGCATAGCAATTACTACTTTATTTGCTAATTCACTTTTAAATTTTCACTTACTCGTGGTTCACTCCTGTCTGAAATATTAAATGGAATTCCAGAAATAAATACTTAATAGTTTTAAAATACACTCTATTATAATATATTGTTAGACTTCCATTACTATAGTTTTTCATATTTTACTGTGATGAACTGATAGGTTGAATTTTAGCACATATATGCCTGTATATGAGCAAACATAGTAGGTGGGGGATTTAGTATTATCTTAGATTCAGGTACCCATTTGGGATGTTTAAAAATATTCTCTATGAATAAGCATAATGAATATTGTATCACTTATTTACTAGTACTATATTGTGTGTGTGTTCATATATACGTACAAACACACACACTGAATTATGAGTCTGCTAGTTGCTCTGTTATTGCTAATATGAATGAAAAAATTTGTGGAGTAATATGTATGAGATAATTATAGATTTTCTACTCTAAATGGTGTTAAAAATTCATTTTTTCATCTATCCTGATGCTTTGAAACTGAACAAGAAAAATGGAAAGCTTGGATAAATAACAATCTTCTCAGGATTGGGAACTTTGATTCCTGATCGCTGTACTACAGTTTCTACACTTACATACTTAATGTGGAAGCTGTTGTGCCCACTCCTACGAAGATGTCTATCAGTATACTCATGATAAACAAAAACTACTAGAAGCCAAACATGCTGCTAAAAGCTGCTAATTAGTATAAACTTAATAGACCTTAAATTAAAAAAACAAAAAACACAAATTTGTGTGACATCCTTACACAGGGGCCATGCTAATCTTCCCTGTATCTTTTCAATTTTAGTATATATGCTGCCGAATACCCAAATGATCCACATCCATGCAACAAAGACATGTGCTCAACTATGTTCATAGTAGCATTTATACAATGGAATACTACTCTGTGGGGGAAAAAAAAACAATGGAATCTTGAAATTTGCAGGCAAGTGAATGGAACTTGAAGAAACCATCCTGAATGAGGTAAGCCAGTCACAAAAAAGGAACATAGTATGTACTCGCTCATATATGGATTTTAGACATAAAGCAAAGGATCACCAGCCTATAATTCACACCTCCAGAGAAACTAAGATACAAGGAGGATTCTAAGAGTTTCCCCTCACAAAAGGGGAAAGGGACAAGATCTCCAGATCTTGTGGTGGGGCTGTGAGTGGAGAGGGAACTAGGAGAAAGAGAAGGGGAAGAGAGGAAAGCACGTAGGTCTAGGAAGATTGAGTCAGGGGAGGAATAGGCAAGAGGAGAGAGAGAAAGAGAGAGAGAGAGACCATAAAAGAGGGAGCGAGTTTGAAGAGAAAATTGAATCTAGAGAAATGTTCAGAGACCTACAAGACTGACCCCAACTAAATGCCCTTCCCTGATAATGAGATTGATGACTAACTTATCCCATCATGAAGCCCTCATCTAGTAGCTAATGGCAACAGAATCAAACACCCACAACTAAACATTGAGATGAACTGGAATCCAGATGCATAAAGGGAGGACAAGACCAGGCTATAGACACACATAGAGACAGCTGACCTGAACAAAGAAGAGATAATGAGCCCCCAGACTGATAGCTGGGAATGCACCATGGAACTGACTCAGACCCTCTGAATATGGGTTTCAGCTAAAAGGCCTGAGCAGTATAAGGGAACCTCAGACTGTGGAACCAGGATGTATTCCTGGTGCACAAAAGGATTTTGGGGACACCTCCCCTGTGGAGGAATACTCCCTTCACCTAGAGACAGGAAAGAAGGTCTAGTCTCTACTCCAAATAACTTGACAGATTTAGATGACCTCTCCTGGTGAGAATCACCCTGCAGGTGGAGTGGGGGGGATGGAAGGGGAAGGTGGTCAGGGCATGAGAGGGTGGGAGAGAAGGGCAGAGGGAGGGAGGGACAGGGAACTGGGATCTATATGTAAAATAAAAATAAATTAATAAAACTAAATTAATTAATTAAAATACCAAAATAGTTACATATAACCCAAACATATAATTCTATAAGCTTAAAGTCATGTCTTGAATACTTACTACACTCATAAGCAAGAGTGTTAGGTGTATAAAATAAATATCCTGGATCTCATTGAAGAAAAGACTTTGTGGATAAAATGCTAGCTGTACAAGACCAGATTTCTGGTTCCCATAACCTATGTAAAAGCCATGTTGGTGTGAAGATCCACCTGCTATCCCAGAATAGAGAAGGCAAGAACATGAAGTTCCAGAAATAAGCTGGCTAGCTGGGACTATTAAAACATCAAGTTCCAGGAATAGTGAGAGTCCTTTCCCCAACAGATAAGGTGAACAGTGATCGTGGTAGACACCTGACATCAATATCAGGCTTTTATATGAAAGCATGTGCCCACAGGTATGCAATACATACACATGTCCACACTATTTACATGCATGCACAAAAATACACCCCCCTCTCTACACACACACACACATATATACATATACATGTGTATATGTATATATGTATATTACAATAGTTTCATAATTAATGTTGCATATCAGTTTAAAACTTAGTATATTCACCAAGGCTCAGAGCTATTAGAGTTATCTATCAAGCTAGCTAATTAAATTAGAAGTGAACTTATACTTGAATTTGAGCATTATGGTCAAAAGCCATTTAAATATGTAGAGAGAATCCTATGCTGTGGTCTAACCTTTGATAAACACTGAGATTCTTCCCCTAGATAAATAAGCTAACATCTTTTGCAAACTTTCTCCTCATTTGATTCTGTCATTTTCCCCTTACATGGGTTTGAATTTTGAATTCTATTTGATGTTACTGGTAGTTTTCTTGTCCTTCCAGATCCTGCTGCTTCAGCTACAAATGAACACACAGAGACACTACATTTATTAAACTGCTGGACAACAGTTAGAGCTAGTTCTGTCTTAATTATTAACTCATATCTACATATCTATGTATTTCCATGTGGTCTTGGCTTACTGGAGAAGGGTCTAGACCTGTTTTTCCTTCATCAACTACATGGTGACTCTTTCTGGCACTTCTCTGGCTACCTTTCCCAGAATTGTCCTTGTCTCTTAGGTCCACCTTCCTGCCCCTATTGGCTAAAGTGTTTTATTCATCAACCAATAAGAGAAACATATATACAGAAGGATATCTCCCATCAATTTTAGACATCCACTTTATATACTTGTCTGGTACAATTTCCTTATCTTCTATCCAACAGTTGATCACTAAGTAGATATTCTGAGCTTCTGAGCTGGGTATAGTAGATCATATCTTTAATCCCAGAAAGTCTTTGTGGTGTGGGGACCAGCATGATCTACATTGTGAGATACTGTCTGAAAACAAATAAAAACTCATTATCATAATCAATAAAACTGAGTGGAAAATTTGTACAAAGAATTAGAATTGCATATCTCTTCTGAGAGGAATAGCAATTTAACCTGGTCAACTAGTTACTTTTCTAAATGTTAATTGAGAAATGGTGTTGAACTCTACTTCACTTAAGAGACATAGGAATGCTATAAGACACAGCTACCGCTCTACTTTAAAAATAACATTTATTTTCAATTTATTGGCTCCATAGTAATAGGAACTAACTTACTGGATATGTCCACAGTAATGACCTCATCCATTTTAAAAATGGGATACATAGAAAGAGAAAACTCAAGAAATTCTTAGGATTCATGGATTTGAGATTGAAGACTCGAATTGCTGGTCGTAAATTGGTTTCCTTCTTTCTTTCTCTGTTTCTCATCTCGCAAGTAACACAATGATGTATAGTTAACAACCCATAATTTTTTTTGTATTTATCATAGTGCAACAACACATATCATTGAAAATTTTTCTTGAGAATAACGTTTCTTTGTGGTCTCATTACTTTGGCTTGACTTAACTATTCTCCTTTCCTTTTTTTTTTTTTTTTAAGAAGTTTAATATTTAACTCTAGCATGATAAGTGTAGAACTTGTACACCCTGTCAATTTGAAGTTGTAATCCCATGGACATAGAAATTGGGCAGGGATAGATGTGTGACCCAATTCGGGCTAATATGAAAATCTTTTCGGGACTTTTCTTAGTAGAGTTGGCAGATAAGTGAACTTCTGTGTGGTTCTGCTAAATGTTGGCTCTCCCTTCAGCCTCTTAAGCAATGGCTGGTTTTGTACCTCGAGTGTCATTGAATTGGCCTTACAGTAGGGACTCCTTGCTCCTTTAGGAACTTCCCAATGCTGTTCTCTTCATCTGCCCTGACATCTCCTGGATTGGAATCTATTTTCAAGAAATGACTAGTAAGTCACTCTGACCTGTAGTCATGCAACGTTATTAAAATTTGTAGCCTCATTCATGGAAAATGTATTTACTTGCTTACTGATTCTTATTCTAACAGAATTATATTCATTATGCTTAGGGATTTCTTTCTTTTTTTAAAAGTTGAATGGGGGTGAGGTGTCATACACATGTAGATGCCAGAGAACAACCTGTCAGGTGTCATCCTCGGGTGTCTATCCCCTTTGAGACAGAGCCTCTCATTTGCCTGGATCTTGCCAATAGGATAGACTGTCTGGCCAGTGAGCCCTACTAAACTACCTATCTTTGACACTCTAGTACTAGGATTATAAGTACATAAGTACGACATGGACATCTACGAACTAAAAATTATCTAAAACCCACAGGTCACCGCAACAAGCTTTGCTCCATCAACTAAACTCAATTCAGTCAAGAAAGAAAGAATATGTATTTTTTTCCTTATAGTCACTCAATTTTGGAATGCTTTATTCCATAGCAATCTGGAAATTTTTAGTAGAATCCAATTCCCAATTTTCCCCATTCATGCTGATGTGAATTCCAGTCTTTTGATTTCTCAGGACCAAAGTATAAGGGTTATTAAGAATCCACATCTTCTCACATATCACACCCACACCATCAAGCAATCTATTTGCCTTGTTCTTCCAAAATATTTCTGTAAAAAGTCATTTCTCCGATTTGTGAACCTGATGGAAGCTCTCATCTCCTTCCTAGAGAATCACTATAGATCCTGAATGGTCCCCCGATTCCCATTCTCTAGTCTTCATCAGGTTGGTTTGTATAATTAAAGCTGTGATAGAGCAGGACATTCATCCTGCTGAGTAAAAACTATTCCACTCCTGTGAAACTCTCTGGAAACTTCTTAACTTACTTTAATTCAAAGCTAAAATGATAACAGTGGCCTACAGGTCTTGAAAGATTTGTCCCTTTCTCAACAGTATTCATCACTCTTATGCTGAGTTCTGCTTGTAATGTCTCACTCCAACCAATCTAATGAACTTGCTGTTCCAAGAACATACTGAGCATGTGTTGTGCCTGAATCTTTTGGGTACAGATTCTGCCTGCTGCACTGTCTCCCACCAAAAGAGCTCCATCACCTGTGCTCCCATGGCTTTCAAATGCTATGTTCACAGGCAGTCTCTCAGCACTAGTTACTAAGATCACAATTGCAGAGTCCCACACTCTGAATGAATTTATACAACAAAAAGACAGTCATTCACTTTTTTTGTCATTGAACTAATTACTTCTTTTTCCATTTTTTCTTTGATAATTCTTATTTAAATTTGAAGCTAGCTTGTTTTACATATCAATCCCAGTCCCCACACCTTCCTGTCCTCCCCTGTTCCCCCCACCAATCCCCATCCATCCCTTTTCTGCTCCCCAGGGAGAGCAAACTTCCATGGGAAGTCTTCAAAATCTGTCATATCATTTGGAGCAGGGCCTAGACCCTCCCTCATGTGTCTAGGTTGAGAGAATATCCGTCTATGTGGAATGGGCTCTCAAAGTCCATTAGTATACTAGGGAGAGAGTGTTAAGAGGAAGAAGATGGGAAAG